TAAAAATAAGTCGATGTGTAACACAATGTACAACAATATGTACATAATTAAATCTTGTATGAACCTCTCAACAAATTAGCCCTTCCATTTAAAAAGTTTCTTCATCCCATTCCTGATTTTAACGTTGACAATACTGTAAATAATAGGATTTGTTGCATGACCAAGAAAAAAGAAATAGCGAAGAAATAAAATGCTTGTCACGTTAAATATTTCAAAGAAAAATGGAATCCAACATATAAGATAGACAAATGTGCAGATAAACAACATTGTCCAGGTTTTCTTCCGAACGTAATTGGCATGTTTGGATACTCGAATTTTTCTTTTCCTTCTTAGTGTTGTTAATTTCTCCGTATTTATGCAAACTCTGTCGTTTCTTCCATTGGCCTTTTCCGGTTCACTATCTACACCTGTTGTGTCAGTGTCAAAACTAAGTGCTCTCATTTGCTTGCCATGGATATCTTTGTTCGATGTGAATTTTGTCATTGTTACTGATATAGCTCCTGAATCAGTTTCGGAATCAGCACTTTTGACTGGAAATCCATTCTTTTTAAAACAAAAATTGAAAGTTTTTCCAGGGTCGTACCTGTTGTGCTTATTGTTTATTGGTTGTGACTTCAGGTTTAATCCCATATCATCCGTTGAATTACAGTCTGATTGATCGTTCGGGACACTGGACGTGGTTTGGCTTGTTTCACTCTTTTTAGGTTTCTGCTTCGTATTAAGCACGCTAGAGGACCCAATTCGTCTCATTCGCATTTTCTGTCGACAGATTAGTACATAGACGAGAACATATACTACGATCAAAATTAAAAATTCTAGAAGGATAATAAAAGCAAGAAAATTTCGGTACATCATGCTCAACTCATCTCCCAAAATATCTGTGGTATAATGGCAGAATTCGTTTTTATTAATCGTGGTATTGTTACCAAAGTCTGTTCTGTTACCGTAAATATTATGCTCATTGTTCGAAACCCGATAAATTGCTCCAGAGGGAAGCCCAAAGAAAATGGAAATTACTAAAAGCACCAATATAGCCCTTATTTTTTTTCTTTCTATTATGATTTTTGTTGGTTTCCACACCATAAGAAGTCTCTCTGATGCAATCAAGATTAAAATCAGGTTAGAGAATCCTATAACAGTATGTCTGATGACTTCCATTCCATGACAGATGACGTCACTGGTGATGAGATGAAGTTCGAACACGGCGGTGTATGGCGCTATAAGTAAATCTGCAATCAGATCTACTATAGAAAGAGCCACAATGTAAGTTCTGTTGAAGAAACTTCTTCTGGTTTTTATATAAACGGCAATAATGAGAGAATTCCCAATCACTCCAATGATGGCGAAAACGGATATGCTAATCAAAAATACCAGTAGATTGAGATCCATTTTTGAATACTTCAAGTGGATTCTTCAATGTATGGGGTTAAACTAAAGAAACATGAATTTTGGTTTGAATTATAAAGTGGAGGAAATTCATAAAAATGTGATACTTTCTTAATTGTCACATTAAAAGAAACGTGCATCTTAATGACAAAAGCCCTTTGTTTGGGATGTGGAAAAATGGTGACGATGAGAGCGTACGGTGCAACGTGTAGATCTGTAGATCTGGTGGTTTGTGATAAGGAGCGCTTCCCGTGTAACCGGATGTTTGGAAAATCTTATAAGGTCACTTGGTCATCAGAGTTTGCCGGAAATGAATATTTGCATCTACCAAATTAAAATAATCATACATGTATAGGAAATGTCACACGTAATCAAAGACCGTTTAATGCATGCATGAAACGATATTTTGTTCGTTTAACCGAAAAATAATTTTTTTTTCTCTTCACTAACTTTTCAATTTGTATGAGATAACTCCACCTGTGTAAAGAAGTTCATTTAGTACATTAGTCAACATAAATGAAGTTGAAAGATACATGTATATGACTTATCTTAAAATTAGAAAAAAAAAACGTAATTATTTCATTCATCAGTTTTGAACAACTTCCGCATCCACTCCTGTGGCTATCCAAGTACATTCTGTCAACACTCTACACCTTCTTTAAACTTTTTATAAGTAAAACAAGTATCTGTATCAAATTTTTAATATGCATATTCAAGGCCTTATTTAAAGCAAGGGTGACAATTTCATTAGAAGCTAGCTTATAGCAAAGTCTGAATGAAACTAAAAGGTAGTGCGATCAATATTATCAATCCCGTGAACAATGTAATGTTTGCAAAACGACACACGAGCACATGGAACACATGAGATGAGTAAGGTAGCTATAAACAGATAAACATCACATGTCGATGAATGGAAATTGACAGTAGATCTATAGAAAAAACATTCCAATGTTTGTGAATCGACTACATTTTATGAAACATCACGCCTGAAGGGTCTTATGGTAAACTGAGTATAAATCAAAATTGTAAGAAATTTATAGAAGTAAAAAATAAAATGAAATATGAAATACGACGGAAAAAAAAATACAGAGTAATTTTCTCCATTGTTTTATTTTCGCCCCATTCGCTCGCGTTTAGAGTGGACGAATTAAAAAAAAAGCGATTTCATATTTAAACTGCATTTCTTGAACAAAACTGTTTCTAGGCGAATTTAAAACGGGGCTTAATTGTTTGCAAATATGAAAGTGTGAAAATAACATGGGACGAAAATAACCCTTCATACAGTATAATGAACAATTATCAAACTCAAAGCTCATTGAAACAATACAAATCTGGAACAGGGCGAATATGGACTTCCACACATAACCAGAGGCGGGATCAGGATAAAATAACCTGCTACTTGTTATGTATGCTGCTTTGAGACTAGAATGCCCAAACTCAAAAAATCTAACGGCCTAACAATAAGTATTATTAATATTTACATTCATAATACACCTATGAAAATGCACACATTATTGATCACAGGCCTACCTGGCCAAGGATTATACATAAGGGAACATCTGGTATACACCGCAGTTTTGCTTTATATATATATATATATATATATATATATATATATATATATATATATATATATATATATATATATATAAAAAGCACTAAAAAACCAACAACACTGTATATCCTAAATGTCGGATCTATCAAGTAGATACAAGGTCACGGATGGAAATTTATAAAAAGCACTAAAAATGACCAACGACACGAACAATAAAAATTGTCAAATTTTCGGGACGCCCTGTCCCTTCCTCAGGACAAAGAAAAGAGTTAAAAAGTCATAAGAACAAAGGAAAAAGCGAAACAAAAAACAACTAGCACTACTACTAAACTACTAAACACTATATATTTACATACTAAGTTACATGTTGATTTGGAAATTTTTAAGAACACTATTAAAGAAAGAATCCGGACCGCTATGAAATGCGTCCGGTCTATCGGGTATACTCGGGTGAAGTGCGATTTACATAATTGAACGAATTAATTATGCTAATTAATTACGACAATCAGTAAATCGTACATTGTTTCATTCTCTCAAAATGGCTTAACTATACTTGATAAAGAATAACCAAAGAAAAATAATATAGAAGGGGCATTTTAACATATGAATTATGATCTATTATAAATATTAATTTGAAATGTTTTAGGACTGATTATCGGTAAAAAATAATTAATAATTAATTAACAAAGGCGTAAGCAATACATAGTTATGTGGGTTGTTCGAGAGTTGGTGACGCAAATTAACTGTGGAGTTTACACTAAATTGAGAGAATAATCTTGTTTGGTATCATCAGGAATCGGGTCTAGTTTACGTTCATTCTGGTGAAGTCATTCAGTTTGTTAATACCATTGGGGTGGAATGACTTCAATCTGTGCATCCAGAACTTTTCTTTGCTTTTTCTCTGAGCGTCTGTCCATCTTGGGTTATGATCAATCACCACTACTGTCATGTCCTCCCATTTGTGACCCTCAAGGTTGAAATGTTCCCCAACGGGTTCATTGAGTTTTTTGGTCCTAATAGTCGAACGGTGGTTATTGACTCTCCTACGGAGATCTCCTGTTTCACCAATATACTGTTTGGAGCAAACTTTGCAACTGATGAGATAAATGCAGTTGTCAGTATGACAGGACAAACTTCCTAGTATTTTGTAGCTGCGGCCTGTAACAGGGCTGTTAAAACTGTCTGTGTCAGTGCTGTGCTTACAAAGAAGACATCTTCTGTCAGAGCAAGTCTTAAAGCCCCCGTTAGGTAATGGGTTGTCCAGTCTGGTTCTTACTACCATGTCCTTTAGGTTCCTAGGGCGTCTGTATGCAGCCAATGGGGGTTCCTTAAAGACCTCTGCCATTCGTTTGTTTGAATGGAGAATTGGTAGGTTCTTTTGAAGGATACCGCTTAGGTTCTTAAGGACGGGATGGTATGTGGTTACCAGAGGGACCCTACCGCTATTTTCTTTCTCTTTGTAGCGTAATAGGTTTTGCCTGTCATGTCCCGCCATCTCATCAATAGCTGTTTGTACGTTGCGGGCATTGTAGCCTCTTTTGCATAGGTGGGACTTAAGAAGACCACTTTGCTCCTGATATAAGCCAGGGGACGAACAGATGCGTCGAATTCTGGTGGCTAGACCCTTAGGCACTCCCTTAAAAGTGTGTGGGGGATGACAGCTAGTGGGCATAAGATATAGGTGGGAATCTGTGGGTTTGGTGTGGAGACTGAATTCGATTTCACCATCAATCAGGGTAGATGTGGTATCTAGAAATACGTTTTTCGAATTAGATACGTCTACTGTAAATTTGATCGACTGATGAAAGGTGTTGGCAAACGTAATGAATGCCTCGAGGCTCTCGCGACATTCCACCCACTTCATCTCTATATCGTCAATGAAACGCAACCAGCTATGGGGCCTAAATGGTGCTTGAAGTAACAAGTTGCGTTCCAGTCTGCCCATGAAGACATTGGCATAAGACGGTGCCATTTTCGTACCCATAGCAGTGCCATTAACCTGCAGGTAATGTTCTCCATTAAACATGAAGTTGTTGAACTTGAGAACGTGTTCAAGGAGCTTGGCAAGGGACTCGGTAGAAGGAATTTGTATGGACCTACTATCCCAGACTGATGACTCCGAAGTAAATTCATACGACTCTTCCAAGCCAGATTTACACGATCTAGAGGAACACAAACTCTATAGGCCCAAGAGTGACTGGGAACCTGCACCGGGCAAGTGTGGCGCGCTTGAGTCGTATATTGACGCCGTTGAGTCAGACATAGAGAAGCTCCTTTCAGTGCCAGACAAGACTCCCGACAATTTGAGTAAGGAAGAGAGATCTGCCTTACAATCATTAAAAAATCGGGATGACATTGTAATCAAGAAAGCAGACAAAGGCTCTACAGTTGTCGTACTGGATAAAGAGACTTACATGGCGGAGGCCCAAAGACAACTCTCAGACGAACGTTTCTATAAGAAACTGGACTCTGACCCTACTAAAGAATTCTCCACCGCCATTACCAAAACTCTTGACGATATGTTTGAGAAAAATGAGATTGGTATCAACGTCTACGAGACCTTAAATCCTATTGACTGTAGACCAGGACAATTCTATCTGCTTCCTAAAATACACAAAGAAGGCATGCCAGGTCGTCCCATAGTCAGCGCAATTGGACACCCCACGGAGAAAATTTCTGAATTCATTGATTTACATCTCCGTCCACACGTAGAGAATTTGCCATCCTATCTCAAGGACACCACGGACTACATTAACAAGACGCCCTCTACTGGCCTCCCAGATCATACCCTCCTCGTGACTATGGACGTCACATCTTTGTACACCAATATTCCGCACGATGAGGGTATCGAAGCCTGTAGAGAAGTCTGGGATAGTAGGTCCATACAAATTCCTTCTACCGAGTCCCTTGCCAAGCTCCTTGAACACGTTCTCAAGTTCAACAACTTCATGTTTAATGGAGAACATTACCTGCAGGTTAATGGCACTGCTATGGGTACGAAAATGGCACCGTCTTATGCCAATGTCTTCATGGGCAGACTGGAACGCAACTTGTTACTTCAAGCACCATTTAGGCCCCATAGCTGGTTGCGTTTCATTGACGATATAGAGATGAAGTGGGTGGAATGTCGCGAGAGCCTCGAGGCATTCATTACGTTTGCCAACACCTTTCATCAGTCGATCAAATTTACAGTAGACGTATCTAATTCGAAAAACGTATTTCTAGATACCACATCTACCCTGATTGATGGTGAAATCGAATTCAGTCTCCACACCAAACCCACAGATTCCCACCTATATCTTATGCCCACTAGCTGTCATCCCCCACACACTTTTAAGGGAGTGCCTAAGGGTCTAGCCACCAGAATTCGACGCATCTGTTCGTCCCCTGGCTTATATCAGGAGCAAAGTGGTCTTCTTAAGTCCCACCTATGCAAAAGAGGCTACAA